AAAGCTTCAATCCATCAACAAGAAATATCCATCTTAAACATATATGCACCCAACATAGGAGTGCCAATTTTCATAAAGCAGCTTCTACGTAAACTCAAAAAAGATATCAACTCTAACACTATCATAGCTTGGGACTTCAATACCCCACTCACAACCCTAGATAGATCATCAGGACACAAAATTAGCAATGACATCCAGAACCTCAATGTGACTCTTGACCAAATGGACTTAATTGAAGAACACTCCATCCAATGACCACAGAATACATTCTACTCATCACCGCATGGAACGTACTCTAAGATCAACCACATACTTGGCCATAAATCAAGCATAAACAAATTTCAAAAGATCGAAATTTTACCATGTACCTTCTCGGACCACAGTGGAATAAAAATAAACATCAACACCAACAAGGTACCCCCCAACCCACAAATACATGGACACTAAGTAGCATGATGCTAAAAATCTCTTGGGTTAATGATGAAATCAAAACAGGGATTAAAAAATATCTGGAAACAAATGAAAATGAAGAAACAACTTACCAAAATCTCTGGGATGCCATGAAAGCTGTAGTAAGAGGGGAATTCATATCTCTACAAATGCACATGAAGAAAATGGAAGGATCACAAATTAACAGTCTAACAAGCCAGATTGTTGGAAAAGCAAGACCACCAAAACCCTAACTTCAGCAGAAGAATCCAGATCACCAAAATAAAAGCCCAAATCAAGGACATAGAAGACAAAAAGATAATACAAAAAAATTAATGAAACAGAAAGCTGTTTCTTCAAAAGGATAAACAAGATTGATGGTCCCTAGCTAGACTGACCAAGAAAAAGAAAGAAAAGGCCCAAATAAACACAATCAGAAACACAAAAGAAGAAATCACATCTGACCCTGAAGAAATACAAAAGATCATTAGAAACTACTATGTACACTTGTATGGAAACAAATGTGAAAACCTTAAGGAAATGGAGGACTTTTTGATATCACACAATGTGCCTAGGTTAAAACAAGAAGAAATTGAGACCCTAAATAGACCAATAACAATAAAAGAAATTGACTATGTAATACGAAAACTATCTACAAAAAAAAAAAAACCCTGGACCAGATAGCTTTCCAGCAGAATGCTACAAGACATTTAAGGAGGAGCTGATACCAATCCTACTGAAGGTATTCCAGGTGATTGAGAAAGATGGAACTCTCCCCAAATCATTTTATGAAGCTAACATCACATTGATACCCAAGTCAGGTAAAGACCCAACAAAGAAAGAGAGCTACAGGCCAATATCTTTGATGAACATAGATGTTAAAACTGTTAACAAGATCCTAGCAAACCGGATTCAACAACACATCTCAAAAATCATCCATCATGACCAAGTAGGCTTCATCCCTGGGATGCAAGGCTGGTTCAACATTCGCAAAACCATAAATGTAATTAAATACATCAACAGATGTTAAAACAAAAACCACATGATTATATCATTAGATGCAGAAAAAGCTTTTGATAAAATCAAACACCCCTTAATAAAAACCCTCAAACATCTAGGCCTACATGGAACATGCCTCAAAATGGTAAAAGCCATCTATGAGAAACCCATAGCCAGCATACTCCTAAATGGACAAAGAGGAACCAATTCCCCTGAAAACTGGAACAAGACAAGGATGCCCACTCTCACCCCTCCTGTTCAATATAGTATTGGAAGTACTGGCTAGAGCAATCAGAGAAGAGATGGCAATCAGGGGTATCCAAATAGGAAAGATGAAGTCAAGTTATCTCTCTTTTCAGATGACATGATTGTGTACCTTGAAAACCCAAGAGAATCTGTCAAAAACCTCCTTACACTGATAAAGGACTTTGGCAAAGTCTCAGGGTATAAAATAATTGGGCAAAAGACAATAGCATTTCTTTACACCAATAATAAACAGACAGAAACCCAAATAAAAAGCATAATTCCATTCACAATAGCCAATAAATAAATAAATAAATAAATAAATAAATAAATAAAATGCCTTGGCGCCTTCCTAACCAGAAACGTGAAATAGCTTTACAATGAAAACTATAAAACACTGCTCAAAGAAATCAAAGATCACACAAACAAGTGGAAAAATATCCCCTGCTCATGGATTGGAAGAATCAACATTGTGAAGATGTCCATCCTAGCTAAGGCAATTTACAGATTTAATGCAATACCCATCAAATTACCAGCAACATTCTTCTCAGACCTAGAAAAAACAATACAGGAATTCATATGGAAACACAAATATCCAAGAATAGCCAGAACAATCCTCAGCAAAGAAAAAAAAAGCAGGAGGTATCACATTACCAGACTTCAAACTTTACTATAAAGCTACAATAATCAAAACAGCTTGGTATTGGTACTAAAACAAGCATATAGACCAATGGAATAGAATTGAGATTCCAGAAGCAAAACCTCAATTTCTCAACCAACTCATCTTTGACAAAGCCTCCACCACCTACCACTGGGGAGAGGAGAACCTGTTCAGTAAATGGTGCTGGGAAAACTGGCTGATCACATGCAGAAGACTCAAACAAGAACCCTATCTATCCCCATACACAAAAATTAACTCTAAATGAATCAGAGACCTAAATGTAAAACCACAAACCATAAGAACCTTAGAAAATGCAGGACATACCCTTATGGAAATTGGAACTGGCGTCCAATTCCTGAGCAATATCTAAAATGCACGGGCCATAAGAGATAAAATAGACAAGTGGGACCTCATTAAACTGACAAGCTTCTGCAAAGCTAAAGAAACCATCAATAGAGCAGAGAGACAGCCCCCAGACTGGGAAAATGTATTTGCCAACTCCAGGTCTGACAAAGGCCTAACATCTTGGATCTACAAGAACTCAAACATGCTGAAAAGAAAAAAAACAAACAACCCCATTATAAAGTGGGCAAAAGATATGAACAGACAAAAAAGAGATTTTTGAAGTATTTAGAAATCATAAATTTATCTTAATAAATCAACAACTTTTAAGTTGAACTTCCCCAAAATTATGCAATTTTATTTTTATTTTATAAAAGGAAGACATCCGAGTGGCCAATAGACACATGAAGAAATGTTCCACCTCACTAATCATTAAGGAGATGCAAATCAAAACTACACTGAGATACCACCTAACTCCAGTCAGAATGGCAATTATCAATAACAAAAAGTAACAGATGCTGGAGAGAATGTGGTGAAAAGGGAACACTTCTACACTGTTGGTGGGAGTGTAAACTAGTGCAGCCTCTGTGGAAAGCAGTGTGGCAATTCCTAAAAGCTCTAAATATCGACCTTCCATATGACCCTGCAATCCCCCTACTGGGAATATACCCTGAAGAACGCAAGTCACTCTATCAAAGAGACATCTGCACACGTATGTTTATCGCAGCATCGTTCACAATAGCAAGAACCTGGAAGCAACCGTGCTGCCCATCCAAAGAGGACTGGATTTTAAAAATGTGTTACATATACACGATGGAATACTATGCAGTCATAAAACAGAACAAAATCATGAATTTCGCAGCAACCTGTATGGAACCAGAGTCTATAATACTGAGTGATCTCTCACAGAAACAAAGATTTGAGTATCACATGTTCTCACTCATATAGTGACTTTGAACATCTATCATAATACTAAAAGAAAAGAACTGACAGTGATGGGAATAAATGGGGGGGTGGGGAGGAGAAGGGAGGTGGTACTAACAGTAGTGAATATCTGTCTGGGGATGGGGAGACACCCCTTATCAACAAGGGTGCCTGAACGATGCATATTTATAAACCTAACCCTTAATTGTACTGCACAATTTTAAAATTAAAAATTAAAAAATAAAGCCGGGCTCGGTGGCTCAGCCTGTAATCCCGCGCCTTTGGGAGGCTGAGGTGAGTGGAT